CTACATGTTGAACACAAATACCTGTACTTTCTACTTCTTACATGCTGAACACAAATACCTATACTTTCTACTTCTTACATGCTGAACACAAATACCTGTACTTTCTACTTCTTACATGCTGAACACAAATACCTGTACTTTCTACTTCTTACATGTTGAACTCAAATACCTGTACTTTCTACTTCTTACATGTTGAACCCAAATACCTGTACTTTCTACTTCTTACATGCTGAACACAAATACCTGTACTTTCTACTTCTTACATGTTGAACTCAAATACCTGTACTTTCTACTTCTTACATGCTGAACACAAATACCTGTACTTTCTACTTCTTACATGTTGAACTCAAATACCTGTACTTTCTACTTCTTACATGTTGAACTCAAATACCTGAACTTTCTACTTCTTACATGTTGAACTCAAATACCTGTACTTTCTACTTCATACATGTTGAACTCAAATACCTGTACTTTCTACTTCTTACATGTTGAACTCAAATACCTGTACTTTCTACTTCTTACATGTTGAACTCAAATACCTGAACTTTCTACTTCTTACATGTTGAACTCAAATACCTGTACTTTCTACTTCATACATGTTGAACTCAAATACCTGTACTTTCTACTTCTTACATGTTGAACTCAAATACCTGTACTTTCTACTTCATACATGTTGAACTCAAATACCTGTACTTTCTACTTCTTACATGTTGAACTCAAATACCTGTACTTTCTACTTCTTACATGTTGAACTCAAATACCTGTACTTTCTACTTCTTACATGTTGAACACAAATACCTGTACTTTCTACATGTTGAACACAAATACCTGTACTTTCTACTTCTTACATGCTGAACACAAATACCTATACTTTCTACTTCTTACATGCTGAACACAAATACCTGTACTTTCTACTTCTTACATGTTGAACTCAAATACCTGTACTTTCTACTTCTTACATGTTGAACACAAATACCTGTACTTTCTACTTCTTACATGTTGAACTCAAATACCTGTACTTTCTACTTCTTACATGCTGAACACAAATACCTGTACTTTCTACTTCTTACATGTTGAACTCAAATACCTGTACTTTCTACTTCTTACATGTTGAACCCAAATACCTGTACTTTCTACTTCTTACATGCTGAACACAAATACCTGTACTTTCTACTTCTTACATGTTGAACTCAAATACCTGTACTTTCTACTTCTTACATGCTGAACACAAATACCTGTACTTTCTACTTCTCACATGTTGAACACAAATACCTGTACTTTCTACTTCTTACATGTTGAACTCAAATACCTGTACTTTCTACTTCTTACATGTTGAACTCAAATACCTGTACTTTCTACTTCTTACATGTTGAACTCAAATACCTGTACTTTCTACTTCTTACATGTTGAACACAAATACCTGTACTTTCTACATGCTGAACACAAATACCTGTACTTTCTATTTCTTACATGTTGAACTCAAATACCTGTACTTTCTACTTCTTACATATTGAACACAAATACCTGTACTTTCTACTTCTTACATGCTGAACACAAATACCTGTACTTTCTACTTCTCACATGTTGAACACAAATACCTGTACTTTCTACTTCTTACATGTTGAACTCAAATACCTGTACTTTCTACTTCTTACATGTTGAACCCAAATACCTGTACTTTCTACTTCTTACATGTTGAACCCAAATACCTGTACTTTCTACTTCTTACATGTTGAACTCAAATACCTGTACTTTCTACTTCTTACATGTTGAACTCAAATACCTGTACTTTCTACTTCTTACATGTTGAACCCAAATACCTGTACTTTCTACTTCTTACATGTTGAACCCAAATACCTGTACTTTCTACTTCTTACATGTTGAACTCAAATACCTGTACTTTCTACTTCTCACATGTTGAACACAAATACCTGTACTTTCTACTTCTTACATGTTGAACTCAAATACCTGTACTTTCTACTTCATACATGTTGAACCCAAATACTTGTACTTTCTACTTCTCTCATTTTCCAAACAGCTGGTTCCTTTAGTCTGAATGTGTGTTTGGTGCGTGATCATTATTCTTTAGAGTCATTGCGTGCCTATTGATTTGAACACGATCCGTGTATCCATCATTTCCTGGTCTTCTCTAAAGAAGAGGGACCAATGGAAACGTTGTCATGTTGCCGTTGTTCAGCATGGAAACATTCATTAGCTAACAATGACATTATTGTTCTATTAATATAAAGGGAGGTCAGGTACTCTTTAAAGCAGCTGCTAGTTATGGGTACTTTTTACTGAAGTACATTTCAAAGCCTCTTTACTTTCACTTGAGTAAAGAAGTTTAGTCAGTACTTCTACTTTTACCAGAGTATCTTTAAACACGAGTATCTGTACTTCTACTTGAGTAAAGAATGTGTTTTGTTTTGCCGTCTCTGTATACGAGTGAAACCTGTACTGTGTTTCCATTTAAGTTTGTATCTGTGCTGTTCACGTCAAACAATGGGAGAAGTTCCTTGGCTCCTTGTTAGGAGTTGAGAAATGACACGACTGGACACATTTTTGAGAAGGCGACACCTCTCTCTTGTCGGGGAGGAAAGGAAGTTCAGGGTGTGATATTGGCGGAGAGGAAAAATACGAGTCATGTCGTCTTTAATGAAAAGTATCTGCGGTGTCTTGTGTGGAGTTGTGGTTGGCACCATCAGCACATCGTTATCTCCCTCTGTTCCCCGGCTAAGAGGCAGACCACCCAGAATGCAATGGGGCAGAGTCGCACTACAGGCCATTAAAGACAGACAGCAGCACCTGGCGAACAGGGGACGAGGGGGGAGGAAGTGAAGGGGGAAGGTAGCAGAAACGCCAAGAAATGGATCTGAGAGGCGCTCATTATCACTCACAACAGGTACTGGCCACACATCTTCCCTGTTAGAATCAGAGGGATGAAGTACAATTTAAAGATGAATAAAAACAACAAATATCTATAATGAACATGCAAAGTTAAAGTGAAAACGTGCAATACATCCGTAAATCCTGTTTCCCCATCATACCGTGGGGCTTAAGATGGAGGTTTTAAGTGTCCCTCCTGTTGTCTTCGGGTCAAATCTGACCGATTTACTACTTCCATCAATCTTTTGTTTTACATTCGATTGCATTAAGGCTTTATGATATCCTTCACAGTAGACATTTGAACATATACAATTGCTGATCACTCATACTCTAGATGTGTTCCCCCCTTATGTGCCCAATCCCCCGATGTGAATCACACCTGGCACACACACACACACACACACAGAACAATTTGACACATTTCCCGCTCTTATGTGCCCCTCCCCCCACATGGATCACACCTGGCACACGCAATAGTTGTTCATGTATACCAGTAGTCTGATACAATATGTACAGTTTGAAAGGGTGTTAAATGAAATGTGGTGTTGATTAATGGTGTTTGTGTTAATGTAATAGCAGTTAAAAGTGTCCACAGTATTAAGTATGTAAGTCGCTTTGGATAAAAGCGTCTAACAAGTAACATGTAATGTAATGTAAAACAGGACTGGTCAAATTTGACCGCGAACACCAAAGTAAGGGGGGGAAACGAAGACAATAGGATGGCAAAAAACAATGGATTTGTATGGAGACGTGCCATAAAAAAATAAAGGTAAACTAGTAAATAAGAGTGTATATAAACACAAGTGGAAAGACCTAAAGGTGGCTCATGTATTTATTATAATTGTATCATTGTGTTCTTGATTATTCATTTTAATTATTGCATTTTTGTATTCTTGTTTTATTCACTCCTGTGTTTATTGATGTTTCTATTGGTTTTAAATGTTTTTATTAATCAAGTATGAAGTTATGTGTGGTATTGTTTTTATGTATGTTTTTGTGTAGCACTTTGTGTTACCTTGTGTGTCTGATAAATGCTATATAAATAATGATGGATTGAGTAATTGTACTTCAATATATAACTATTAAGATTGAAAGGCCAAGGGTTTTGATGCTGATGGTGAACAAAAAGTCCTGATGTGAAGAAGAAAATGTCTGACATTGTTTTTGGTCTTAGACCTCTACATGATGTTAGAAATCTAAATATGAAAAAGAGTCATTTCTGCAGATTAAAATGATGTTTTGAATCAGCTCTGTATATTTTGCAACATGACAGATGACAGGCCACCAGTGTCGTAAAATAACAGTCTGATCTTCCCTGTCTGGACTCCCTAAAAGGCCACATTTATAATCATTTTTCAGCTCATGTTCCGCCAAGCAGTAGAATTGAATAAACCAGTAATGAATTAAGGTGTTGTAACAGTGCCCCCTAGTGGATGAGGTGGTGTGCTTTAACCTTGAGTCTGCAGTTACTCACAGGCAGACACACTTGTTGACAGTTTAGTTTAACACTTCCTCTCTTGTTTTACCAAACATACCTGCTTTTATGATGGCAATATTCGTTTCCAAGCTGTAAATTAGAGTCTAGAGGTCATAACAGACATCATTATCTGAGTGAAAACACAAGCTAATCACATTGTAATCTTTACTGATCAGCGGCAGTCTTAACAAAAGGCCTCAATGTTTGCAATTATTTCTCCAGCTTCAGACAAAACCATTCAAATGCCAACCCCCACACAATGCCTGCCATTTAAACGAGCACCTGACTGTAATTATGCAAATGTGGAGTAATTAGCCAAGAAACCTGGAAGCCCTAACGAGTTGTTGCGAAAGACTACAGGGTAATTTCAGATAATGAGCCTCCCATTGTGCGCCTCGGTTTACATAACACAGAAATGTTTTTTTTAAGGGATTCCCATGTATAGCCACACACTTCCTCGCCATGCTAATGTCTTACAAATTAGACTCGTTGCCAGTTAAGTGTGTGAAAAAAACACTCTACCTGCCACTAACATGCCTCGCTGCTATTTTGGCCCCCGTCACCTATTGACCTGACAGGCGAGTGTCGGGGGGGAATAGACATGTCAGCTGCAGGTGGAAACTCTCAACTAGGAGCGATGCTTTGGAGATGTTCGGCTCATTTGGAGATCAGGATTTCACAGCTCTGAGGGACTGCAGGTAAGGGGACTTCTCTTTTTACTTTTGGATGCTTTTGTGTAGCTGTTTTTAATGGGTTAAACTGTAATTAAATGATAGGATGGACTCAGGATTTAAGCTTCTTCCTTTGGGCCGGAGGTTAGTTGAACGAAGCGGTATAGAAACAGTTCTATCCCAGCAGCTATTGCACAAATTAACAAATTGCGTCACACAGATTTATTTAATTATGAATTTTGAATGTTTGTACTAGTGTTTTTCTTTTTAAATGTTTTTTAATATTTTGAGATTTGACGGAGCAGCTCGTACTTTTATTAGAGATGTGTCTGTGTTTGTTTTTAGAGTGTGGCAGGATGGATCCCTTGTCTTTTTATCTGCAAACTAAATCTACCTACGGGTAGAAATAATGAACCTGAGCATCAAAGGCTTCTGGATTTCCCTTGTTGTGTTTGTTTAGTGGTTTGTGTTGTATAGAAAGCAGCTGCATCAGACACAGCACAGTCACAGCTAATTAACTTGTTGATAATCTTGCTCTCTTTTTACATGTTGCTGGTGTCTGAGAAGGTGACCTGAAGTGTCACACAGGTATACAACATATTTCCATCTTTACTTCCGTACTGGATAGAAAGAGTTTTACTTTTTTTGGCATTGAAAGAAAGTCTTTACACGCCAAGCAAAATGTCTCCCTTTAATCTCCTAAGAAGACGGTGCCAAAGGTCTCTCCTCTTGAGGAAAACTGGATTCTAATAGATTTTTTTTTTAGCTGTGATATTTAAAATTGCTGACCCTAACAAAGATGAGTCCAGCCAGTATTCGGGATGTGTAATTTCTTCCCCAGCTGAGCAGTTAACCAAGGCATCGATATGGAGGTTTCCAACCCTCTGAAGATGTACGGCCTGTACCTGGAAGCCGTCAACGATTATATTAATGAATCCTACGGAGAGGACGTGTGGAGGCTCATCGAGAACCGAGCAGAGATACCCCACCTCAAGTTTGTCCGACACCAGATGTACAAGTACGTAGATCATGGTTCCCCGTCATACTGTGGTGCTTGAATTGAGGTTTTAAGTGCTTGAATAGCAAACACTGTGTATTTTGAGGCTAAATATTCACAAGCGAGTCTTATATAATACCATAGCAACCTGACTTTTGCATAATTCAAGTGCAGCATTTTAAGACCTGAATAAATGCTAAAACTCGGCTGCCAGTCACAATAATGACATTTATTCTTTGTTAGATATTCTGTATTTAGGGGCCTAAGCTTATGTGAACCTGAAATTCTAACAAATGTCGAGGTGGAATATGAACTACTTATGAACTCTTCATATCTTCACATTTTTAGAGTAATCTTTCTATCTGAAATGTTGTATTACATTTCTTAAAGAACAACTGTCAAACATTACACACTACTCACATACACACCCATCAAAAATGCACAATAAACACACAAAAAAGACAGTAGCTGGAAGTCAAGGACAATAGAGAGAAGAGAGTAACCTTTCTACTCGTATTTAAATCGGTCTTATTCTATTTAACTTTGTTTTATTTGTATTTTCTTCACTTTTTAATGACTGTCTTCCCATTTATTTAAATTATCTTAATGCACTTTGAATTGCCTTGTGTTGAAATGTGCTATACAAGAAAACTACCCTTGCCTATGACCATACCCTTCAACATGTTAGACACCATGTCAGAAACAGCTGTAGTGTCATGCAGTTTAGCACAGTAATACAGCAAGTATTCATTAGTAAATGTTGTATTACTTTGACTATTTTTACTCTCATTTTGACTGTGCTCACTCCTGCACTCGTCTTTGTTTGATGAAACGTTGCTTACTTTACTTTGTCAGAGCCCTACCAGAAAGCTGATTTTAAATCTCGTAGCATTAGCAGCTAACTTAGCATATGTTAAAAGCCACATGTATTAATAGCTTTCTCTCTACTACGCAGTGACAACCTGATCCTGCGGTTGGCCAAGGCGGCAGGTGAGGTTCTGGGAAAGACCCACGACGAGCTGATGTACGCCTTCGGGGTCTATATGGTCAAGAGGATCGGAAACTACGGATACGAGCGGATCCTAAAGGTGATGTAGTGAACCCTCCCTTCAGATTATCTTTAGCTAACAGCAGCATTAAGTGCATGTCCTCATGTCTACACTACATCACTGACTGATGATGCATTAGTCACTAAATCAAAGCTCATCTGGCCTCATGGAATACAGTTATGTTTAATAATTCTGAATCAAAGTCATTTGCGAGCAACCACATCATGACGCTTGGATCTGGACAAGAACTGTTTAGATGCGAGCAGTACAAAAAGCTCTTGCAATTGAATGTTTGTAATGGGCAACGAAGGTCTCGTTCATTCATTAAAAAATAAATCAATGATTGAAAATCCAGAGGAAATGTATTGAATCAGATTCAGACACAGGTTTATTACCAGGTAGGTTCACACGAGGAATTTGACTTGGTGTCGTGGTGCATACATAAAAGTAAAACTAAACTAAAAAAACACAAAATATTTTAAATAATAAAAAATATAGTGAAATATAGCAGTATTTACATAGAAATAGAATGGATTAAAATATGGAATAAAACTCAGCAGTAACAAAAAAAGAAAACAGATATTGTGTACATTGTGTGTTAAAACATTACTGTATCGTTTGTTCGGGTAAAAGGCGATCATTGGGAGGTGTAGAAACAAAACCAATGACTACTTAGCACCAGAAAGACATTAAAATAGATCCTCAATACCCAGTATTCTGACAACGTGAAAAACTACTTTAACAAGGAACATAATTCACAATAAACAAACCGCACAGTTTACAATTTAAATATCATCATCATCCATCTTTTTTAGGTCTTGGGGCGAAATGTGCGCGACTTCATCAACGAGCTGGACAACTTGCACGAGTACTTTCGCTTCTCCTTCCCCAAAGTGCAGCCGCCCAGCTTCTGCGTGGAGGAGGAGTGCGAGACGAGCCTCACGCTGCACTATCGTAGCACCCGCAAAGGTTTCACCCAGTTCGTCAAAGGTAACGAGGCCCAGAGCTACGGTTTACCCATAGACTGTATAAAGGGTTTACCACACTTTACCAGTCACAGGAAACTGGGTTTGACCCCCAACCCAGAGAACAAGAGCAGAGCAAAGAGTTGTGGATAGAAATCAAACAAATCAAGGCCTATGTGTTTTCAAAACCTGTTTCTTGACCTCGATTAAAAAAAAACGTCCACATGTTAAGGAAAGATGTGGAGGATAAATGTTGCACTTACACCCGGCCATTTAATTACGACATGACGATAGTTGTTCTTTTCCTTTTGTAAAGGATAGTCCAGTGTATCCTATGTATAAGGAGATTATAAAGGAAGCATTGAAGCTCCTTTCAAAGACGACTGCGGTGCCAAGAGAATCACACTGGTTGATATTCCTTTCCTTTCATAAAGGATTCTTGGGTGTAACCTAGTTTAAGGGAGATAATAAAAGAAGAATTAAAGCTCCTCTCCTATCATCTAGAGAATTCAACAGTAACCTGGGCGCCACTTAAGTACTCTAAGGTCATTTCACTAAAAAGACTAATCACCAAAACCTAGGACTAGGGTTTAAACAAGTGAAGGTCCTATCTTTCCATAAGCACTCTTCCTTAACCTCCGGGAAACACTTCATGGGATTCAGGAACAATGTAGAAAAAGACAACTGCTAATGAAAATCCAACTGCTATAATATAGTAATGCTCTTATTAAAACATCCACGTACTGTAGGTCGTTTGACTCAGCTAGTAACCTTTCTAAGGAAAATCAATCAATCAATCGCAGCCTAAATCTTCACATTGTGTTTATGTAGGTTTCTACCCATTGCATGCTGGGATACGCTCGAATCCCATTAAACTAAATGTGCTTAAAGGGGACCTATCATGCAAAATGCACTTTGTGATGTCTTTTATACATAGGCTATGTGTCCCCGGTGCGTCGGGGAACTCACGCAGCGTCAGAAAATAAAACCCTCTCTCTTTTCCTCCGTACCCAAATCTTTTAAAAACGGGTATACAACGAGCGGATACAGATTTCCATCCGCTGTGACCTCATAGCGGCGGCGGACCCACAGAGAGTTGCTGTGAGAAACAATGCCTGACGTGTTTTGGACGTAATCTCGTCTTTGTTTACATTAGCAAGCCTCGCTAACACTCAGAGCTAACCTGTACTGGAGAGCACATGTGTTTAAAAAGCAGGAAATAAAAAAAGGAACTCACCTTGTGATAAACGCGCAAGAGAAAAAGCATTTGAGCTCCATACTGTTTCAGAAATAATCCTTGACGTGGTTTAGAACAGGATGGCGTTTTATCACAACTGAATTTAACTTTATCTCCGGTAGAATTCTGATCAGGCATTAGCTCCGCCTCCTCTTCTTTCTTTTTTTTCAAGCTAAGGACCCAAGATCCACGTTTCTCTATAGGGCTTTAAAAGAGGGGTTTGAGCAGTATGAGGCACAATGGGTGATCTGTTTGGTATTTTGAAAAAAAAACTTCACAGACATGTTTTGTATACAATATATGTTTCAAATATAGCATGATAGGTCCACTTTAAGTATAAAAAAAAAAACTACTGACAATTTCTCCAAAGTGTTATTTGGTTTGTCCAATGAATACGATACGACACATTACAAATTATTTAAAGCCCTTTTTTTGCATATTTAAAAACGGCCTATACTTTGAAAAACAAAACATGGTATTTTAGGTGTTTAACACAATATCTTACCGTGGGTGCCAAAAGGAATATATCCATTTTAGTACAAAAGTCAAAACAGTCTACACCATGTCTTCTTTTTAGTTGAAAGGCATTGTGGAGAAGCCAACCTTCACTTTCAGCTGTGATACTACAGATAGATAACCTCAATGACATTAAAGCAACATTAAGTTCACCGTGTGTGGACAATATGTCAAGTCTATGCACATTAATTTTCATAATGCAGAGAACTGAACTGAAACCAGTGAGAAGGTTAGAAAAGACATTGAGAGCACTGGAGTGAACTCTTTGAAATAGCCTTATGAGATTATCATATTTGTTTTAATTAAAGTTATCAAACAGTATTGGACCAAGAGAACCAATGACACAACAGTTAATAGTTTATGTAGCTAACAGTTTGACCTTTAAAACTGAAAGTGATGAGCCTATTATATTATATTAGATATCACTTTATCGTCATTGTAGAAATACCGGGACAACGAAATGCAACCAAAAGTGCAAGAGAAGCATATAAATATATTATCTGCATTACAACTAGTTTGTTGCAGTTACACATTCAATATACATCCATGTCACTACTTTTATATAACTCATCATCCCTTAAGATTATGTGAAATACACTCACACACACACACACACACACACACTTCACTACAACGTGGCTGCATACACTCGTCACAGTCGAATAAGTGACGTCTCTTTCTAAACATTTGTACACATTTTCAAAATTACATACAAAAGTCTGCCTAAAATGAACCCACTAACACAATAAAAGACCGTTTCTTTATCACACATACATAACTCACTAGCTTGTGGTTACGCCACAGGCATTAGTCCATATTAGCAAGCAGGTGACGCACGGTTTAACTGTTTGTATTTTGAGCAAAACACATCATAGACATGTTTTTATATATTTTTGATATATCTGAGACCCATAATATATGCCTAACAATAGCATGATAGGCAGTGGCGGTTCTAGACCAATTTGACTGGGGGGGCCACTGGGGGGCCAGTTATTTTCTGAGGGGGGCACAATAAATGCAGGACGAAAAAGAGAACTAGACAGTATGAAGTAATTGTGCATAATAAAACAATGCAATACAGTTATTGGTATTTGTTTCAGTACACTTATTTATTTCAGATAGATCTTATAGTTATTACTGTTTGCTTCAGCTTAAGTTATGGTGCAATGTTTGCACTAACACCATATTTATATACAAATAAAGGCAATGAACAGTTACATCTCTACTTTACATAAGGGTGTCTGCACAATCTCACATTACAGAAACAAAATTCTGCGGTTGTTGGCAAACCGAGTACCAGAAAATATACATTTTAAAAAAAACTAAAAAAAACTTTTCATTGTTAGGGGGGCCACAGGGGGGTCAGTGTTAGGGGGCATTGCCCCCCCCCCCCCCTGCCCCCCCTAAAACCGCCCCTGATGATAGGTGCACTTTAAACAAATAATTGTTTGTACAAAACAACTAAAAATATATTAACAGTGTGAATAGGATTAGACACAGACCAGTATTTTTGCATTTTGTTAATAGATTATGGTATACTGTGTTAGAAAGTAAAATAAATGATCTGTCCCATTGTTAGCAGGCAAGGTCAATCCATTCAGGCCACGGATACAAAAACACATAACAGGGCCTTTCGATTACTCTCAAGTGTTATTGCGATGAAGCCTGAATGTCCTACAAGTTGACCTCCACTCCACTCATCTATGACCGGTGTGTGTTTGATTGTCTCCTACAGGACAGCTGTCTCAAGTGGGACGGCAATTCTACAGCACAGACATCGAAGTGGAAATCCTGTCTAAAGAGGAGACGGAGAAAATGACGTATGTGGTATGTACTGAGGTCAAGTATGAGGTCATCAGCATGGAAATATCTCAATCAACTTCAACGGGACGCTAGGCGGAAAGCTTGTTTATACTCAGACAGCAAGTGCTTATTGGATGGAGATGAGTGTTTATTGGGCTGGGAAAATAATTTACATGAGAACAAATGTCAAATGTGCAAGCACGTGTTCCTGTTGTCTTACTGTCTGGCTTCAGCTATCATCAATATTAACATTTAAGAGCTTTGAGCACCAGGAAAAGCGCTAAATAAATCAAAAGTATTATTATTATTATTATTAAGTTCAAGCCTGTTTGTGATGTTGGCCGTAGAAATGTAATTATCGCAAATGCATGAAGGAGAGGATTGAGACTAACAAACATAAAATAAGAACAGCTTTTTTAATCTCTTAATAAGTCAATGTGTACAGTTTGTAAAAAGTCATCCAGAAAATCAATGATTTTACTTGATCCACTGCAAGAAAATTAGCTCAAACTATATTTTGTGTTTTGAAATACTGTCTAGAATAACATTAATGTCACCCCTGCTGTTTTTCCCATAAGCAGAAATAAATCACTGTTGGAAATAACAAGCGAGCGCTTCCCAAACCGAAGGTCACATTTGTATTCATAAGTAACTCATAAGGTCCCATTTACAGGCATTTTTAATTGTATAAGAGGTATATTTTTAATAAAACAAAGGTTATAAGATGTAACCAATAACTTAATTCATGTCGATAACCATTTAATAATTATTTATAAATCAGATATAAGCTATTTGTAACATTTAGACTGATGGCTATATCTCACATGATGTTTTTAACTGAAGACTTCCTAAGTTATAGTTATTTTATTTTTCAAAATACCAAACAGATCATGCATTTTAGCCATTCCTCATTTCGCTCAATTTAACACTGTCTTTACATGGGCTGATTCTGTGAGAACAGCACCATCTACAGGCCTGGCATATGTACTACAGCGTCTCCAGCGCTTTCGAACGGCAATGTCCGTAGCTGTCTCCTCCTGATTGGTGGAATTGGCCCAATAGCCGTAGCGCCACTTCTGTGACGTCAGAGAAGTGTTCAAATCTGGATCAGTCTGTATCAGATCCATTGCAGCCCCTTTTTTAGAGATTTGGGTATAGAGGAAAATAGGGTTGTGTTTTCTGACACTTGGTGAGTTCCCTGGAACACCGGGGACACATATTCATGTATAAAAGACGTACAAAAGTGCATTTTGTATGATAGGTCACCTTTAATGCAACTGCCAATAATCCTATTTTAATCAAAAATATTATTCGTTTTTTGTATCCCAAACTGTATTTTTTGTTGTTGAAACCATTAAGAATACATGTTAAGTAAGTGACTTGTAATTTAAACGTCTCACTGCTCATCCGTCCAGGTCTACAAGATGAACTTCGACAACGCAGCCTTCAAACACCGCACGCCGCAGCAGAAGACGGCGCCGGGCTACGAGAAGCTGCCGATGAAGCGAGGCCTCTTTTTCGACATGTTCCCCTTCAGCGTGATCTTCCGCCGCGACATGACCATGTACCGCATTGGAGACGGCCTCAAAGAGGTCTTCTCCGACCTGCAGGGCAAGAAGGTCAACGAGGAGTTCACTCTGATCAGACCCATGCTGGAGTTCACCTGGGATAACGTGAGTCCGGATTTGTTTATCATAAATTGCTCATGGGATTTCAATAGAGTGGTGCAGGGATGACGTATTTCTATAGGCCGACCCGGAAGTAAGCTGCGCATGGGTTCCCTCGACAAAAAAGCAATAGGATTTCTTCATAGGATTTTGGAATATTGTAAAAAATAAAATCTTTGGAACCTGTTTGATAAATGCACGTTTTGTTCAGCCGGATAATCTCCACATGTCTACCCTACTTTTATAATTTTCTAATCATAAATCTAATTGCCAGAAGCAAAATGCTAACGTTATGCTATAAAGGAACGACAGCCGAGTACAGCAGGGTCGCACGACTTCAACGTCACGCCCACTTAGGATCGATATTCAGAAATACAGATTCAAAATGGTACAAGTTGAAGAGTTTGTTTTAACAGTTAGCAGGAGGCAGGTACTTGCTTTCAAGCAGAACAGGGCAAACAAACTTAGCGGGAGTGTTTACGTGTTCGGCGTAATGACGTACAACGACCTCGACAACTTCTGTAGTCCTATTCAGCCACTTGTTGACAACCATCGTTTTTCAGATACGTCAACTCTTCAAAACTCATCAGTGGGGTCACTGCTGATGTATTTAATGTCGTAGAACAAAACGTGATCCGTCTCTTAAATGTGTCTCAACCACAGACCTTATTTCCAGCTATTTTCCAAAATCCTATGGAGAGATCCCATTGGCTCTGAGACGGGGGAACAGGAAGTGGTGAAATGCTGACTCACTTCCGGGTTTTAGGACTCATCACTGCACCGCTCTATAGCTGACAAACTAAGAAACACAAATCCTTCCTCTCATTAGATCTACACCCATCTGAACAATGTGTTTGAGCTGCTGTCTGTAGCGGTGGTGGAGAGCAAGCAGAAGGTCAACATTCCCAAACTGAGCAAGGAGGATCCGGAGGAGAGTCGAGAGAAGGAGGAGAATGAGAAAGCAAAGAGAGAAGAAGAAAGAGGTAACGGGTCGCTCCACTTCAATCATTCCCCACTGCATTATGTATATAAAAGGGTTCATTTCAAATGGATGGGATCACAAAATGTCCATCAAGTCACTCCATCATTTTAAAGGTCATCCGATCTGGCAGAGCTAAATGAAATATGTATTATATAGTCAAGAGGAAATGATTATCAAACCGATTCAAGAGCCAAATCACTTTTATAACATAAAGTTACTCAACCTTCAAAGCACATATTATAATACGTATATATATATATATATTCTGTAAATGGAGCACATCAAATAAGTGCAGTCTGGTGAATGTCAGTATAAATAGTGAATAAAATGGGAAAAAGGGGAATTTGATGCATAATAAAGTAAGAAAGATATCACCAAACATTGTTGGTGCAATTTAACTAAATATATTTAGTCAAGTATTACACAAGAAAGTACACATTTGAGGTACATCTACTTAACCTCCGTATATCCATTTAATACAATGTTATACTTCCACTTCCAAGGTACAAATTATAAAATGTTGTTCCTTTTACTAAATGTATCTGACATTATTACATGGCTTAGTTGAATACTCGATTCTGATTGGTCAATTCAGAACATGTGACACGTTGTTAATCCACTAGTACAGACCGCTGTCAAGGATTTATTGACCGTTGTTAAGGACGCTCACATCTGCAGAAAGAAGTCCGGTCGATTTAACTGTATACAGTTTGCTTTTCAAACTGTTTGCTTGTCTTTAGTTTTCCGTTGTCTCCCGTCTGAGAGTAACATGGAGGATTTGAATATTCATTTTTATATATTTGGAGAGCACAGTCATTTGGATGAATGGTTAGTGATGAGTCCCCAGCGAAGAAAAGAAAAAGACAACAGGGACAAGAAAACAGCGGAGAAGTAACGGGGCAGAAACCCTCAACACGGAGCTGCGGTCCTTTTTACGCAGCGGTCCAGACATCAAACGGCAACAAATATTCAGTTGCCAGTTGCTTTGGCATTAGGGCAGGGATAGATACTTTTCGAGGTTTGATATAATGAATTGTGCTACTTTTAAAGCAAGCAACGATGTTTTCAAATCTGTAATCAAAAAAGTCCGCAAAAACGTTTGGCGTTGCTACGTAGTTCAAACGGTAACAACGGACTACATTTCTCAGCGGATGCATGTCATTTTAAATCAATAAAAAAAATGTAAATCAATAATACTATTTTTTAAATTAATAAACACATTTTCTAAATCAATAAAAGCATTTCAATTAATATTGGGAGTCATGTCGTTACTTTGTTGAGGATGTGGCCATGTATTGAGCGGGATAATGTGCAGCGACTTACATAGTAAATACGGATTAAGTAAATTGAACCCCATCTTTACCACCTAACATTAGAGTTATGTATACAATCATTATCATCCAGTAATATATATGCTATGGGTATTTCAAGAGTAAAATATATCACTAATGGTTATTTGTGCAATTTAAAGGTGGGGTAGGTAAGTTTGAGAAACCGGCTCGAGATACACTTTTTGTTACATTCCATGGAATGCTCTTAACATCCCGATAGCAATGAATATCTTAAGTGCTTTGACAATAAATACATAAAACATGTCATCTGTGGAAGCCGTGGCGCTGTAAAAAGCACGACCAATCATCTGAGCCGGCCCGGCTAAAGTAACTGGATGGCCTACCTGCCTGTCAGCCTTCCATCTGTGCACAAACTTATCTCGTGCCCTCATTGGTCATGTGCGCGTTCGTGTGTGTTGGAGGAGGGGCTCTGTGAGGAAGTGGCAGATTTTTTCCGGCTGTGTATTTTCAAATTCTAGCGCACTCGAGCTGGTTTCTCCAAAATTACCTACCCCACCTTTCACTCAATAGATGTACTCAAGTATTGTAAAAAAGTTTTTTTTAAATGTGATTGTTTGATGTACTTTACTTGCATATTTTCCATTTTTCCAATAGCCGCTTTCACACCAAGTACTTTGCCGTACTTAGTTCCCAGCACTTAGTTCCCCCATGGAACTAAGTACAGATCGCGTTCACACCGGAATAAGTCCCTGAGGGAAGATTACGCAAATGAAGCCGCTGACGTCACTTCTTCTTCTTCTTCTGCTTTGGGTTTACTGGCAGGCCGCAAACCACTTCACGGCGTATACTGCCACCCGAAGTCCCCGGCCGGAAGTCCCCGGAGTTGGGGACTGGCTTCAGCAGAAGCTGCTGGGACTCCCAGCCTTCCGAGTAAATCGCCAGAACGCCGACACCTCCTCATCACTCCACCGCCTCCATGTTTTTTTTTGTGTTGCCATAAGTTATTCTCTCTCCGTTGGTGCGCGGGGCTAATGCTAATAATGCTAATGCCAGCAACAGGGCCGGACTGGGACAATAAGTCAGGCTGGGAATTATACACCGAGCCAGGCCACTACCAGTTTTTTTTTTGTGCCATTTTGCTGGATTTATTTGTCAATATTTACAGCGTTGCTGCCCATAGTGATAGCCCTCTAGTTTAAATCTACTACCCAAAAATGAACATATGGACATGGGTCACTATTTAAAAAAATGTGAAAATCTATTTAGGAACCTGTTCATGTGAACATATTTTAAGTGGGGGTGGACCTCAAATCCTATAGGGGGGTCCGGGGGCATGCCCCCCCGGTAAGAATTGTTTGTTAAATGTTGGAGTTAAATGCATCAATCTGGTGCACTTTGAGGGGGAAATAAAGAGAGAGACTACACCCATATGAAACAGAACTGTATACATTTAAATAATCATAAAATCCTAAGAACATGGCCATAACCAATATCATACAATATGAAAAAACATTGAAACTTGTTTATTTATTTATTTTTGGTTCATTTATAGTTGTGAGTGTGTCTGTGCTCCTGAATCAGCCTCTCCTGTGTCCCTCCTCTCCCCCCTCTCCCTCCTCTCCCCCTGCTCCTCTTTGAGGCAGCAGCAAAGACTCGTTTTTAGCTCTCAACAAGTTTTAAAAGTTTATCTTACCTTTTTTCACCTAGTTAACATTTGTTTTTGTATTATTCATGCATATTTCACTAATCTCACTCCCCCCTCAAATGGAAATATGTGTTTACATAAATGGTGACCAAACCGTTTGAGACCCACAGAGATAACTTAGACAAAGTTAACTATCTAAGCACTCCTAAATAGTCCTTTACCTCACCTGAGCTGTAGTTATCAGTCTCTCAGTCTGACAGCAGAGGACTCTCCTCCACCTTGTTGTTGAAACAGCTCCTTATATCCATTAGCGCAGCTAGCTAGCACCAGATGCTAACAACAACAACACTACACGTAACCGGTGCGCGCTCTCTCTCTCTTGCTCGCTAGCGCCACACATACATACACCCTCCCGAGCTTGAATGACACAGAGACCAATCGAGGGCATTAGTGTATGATCTGTATGAAAGTGGCCATGTCGGCAGGCCACATCATGTAGACAGCCAGTCACCCTCTGTGAGGCAGAGTCAGATCCACATTTGCGCAGCGTTGCGTTCACAATACATACATAAAAAAAAGATTCCTCAGGCCAGCTGGCCACTTAGCAGGCCAGGCCATTGGGAAACCGCCCGGTCCTCCCGATGGCCAGTCCGGGCCTGGCCCAGCAAATACAATGACGGCTTCAAAAAGCTTTTCAGAGTTTTACGGAGCGTGGTTTGCAATTCGCCCAGCCAATCAGAAATTGGTACTTTTTCTCCCCAGTATAGTCCCACCTCTCTAGCAGGCACTAAAATGGGGGTAAAAGTTTTGGTGTGAATGCAAAATTCCAGGCACTACGGAACTAAACGGTAAAAGTACTCCGGTGTGAAAGCGCCTAATGTTATGTCCAAATCCAAGGTACAAATTATAAAATGTTGTACCTTTTGCTGCACTACATGTATCTGACATTAGTAACTAAATACAGATTAAATAAATATAACCCCATCTTTACCACCGGCAATATTAGAGTTATGTATTTACACCAATAATTATTATACAGTTATATCCTTTGTACTATTCTGAAATGCACTATTAGCTTTTGTCCTTTGGGTTTATTACTAAGCCAAGTTTTCCTCAAGAATCATTTTGAATGCTTCTACTTCTAAGCGTATTTTCCACTGTATCATCAGTACTTTAACTTGATGCTTCTTCAACCAATTATTATCTTAATGTTATGTGCAAGAATGAAACAGAATGGACATAAAACCAGATCATAACCATCAAGAACAGCCAAGAAACAGAATTTATAACAAGGTGATGAATTAGTAATATACTCTCATGTTGAACATTACCATTCTGCTGCAGCCTGACTGTGATTAGTATTCAACACACAGCCTTCACACAGTTATGGCCCTTTTTAACTCTCCGTCTTAAAGGTCACCTATTATGCAAAATCCACTTTTTCACATATTTTATACATCAACATGTGTCCCCTCTTCTTCATGTCTCTTCTACATCAACATGTGTCCCCTCTTCTTCATGTCTCTTCTACATCAACATGTGTCCCCTCTTCTTCATGTCTCTTCTACATCAACATGTGTCCCCTCTTCTCCATGTCTCTTCTACATCAACATGTGTCCCCTCTTCTTCATGTCTCTTCTTCATCAACATGTGTCCCCTCTTCTTCATGTCTCTTCTTCATCAACATGTGTCCCCTCTTCTTCATGTCTCTTCTTCATCAACATGTGTCCCCTCTTCCTCATGTCTCTTCTACATCAACATGTGTCCCCTCTTCTTCATGTCTCCTCTACATCAACATGTGTCCCCTCTTCTTCATGTCTCTTCTACATCAACATGTGTCCCCTCTTCTTCATGTCTCTTCTTCATCAACATGTGTCCCCTCTTCTTCATGTCTCTTCTTTATCAACATGTGTCCCTTCTGTGGAAAGAGACTCTGAAAGTTTCAGGAACAAAGATTCTCTCTCTTTTTGATCCATTTATATAAAAACCTGTCTGAAAATGAGCTGATCAGATTTTGGCCACTTTATGATGTCATAACGATGTTTTGTCTTGTGTAACCATTAGCCAATCAGCAACCAAGGTAACCCCCCCCCCCCCCCCCCCCTTATCACCTGAATCTCCTCCTAGAGCACCATTGAGTTCTTCTTAACCAAATGTCTCTCAGAGGGGCGTGGGGAGGGGCTCCTTATTTTCATCTAAAGTAACAGACAGCGAATCAGCACTTTGGAAACAGGGCTGAAACAGAGGGGATTATGGGTAATGCTGCAATGATCTGTTTGGTGTTTCAGCCAATCAGAGACATGTTCTGTGTATATCTGAAACCTGTGATATATTGATGAAAAACAGTATGATAGGGGACCTTTAACTTAAAACCTGGTTCATTCACTCCTGTCTTCTGCTCCTCTTCCTCAGATGAAGGGAGGTCTAAGGACATGGAGGAGATGAAGGGTTCGGACCAGGAGTACAGCGGCACCGTCACGCAGTACAACAGCTCAGCTAACTCTGGAGGAGAGGACATTGAACTTCTGGCTTTCCAAACTGTCACCGGTCAGAGCCGCTTCACTTCTAACAAGCTAGTTTTTTTCATTTGCAGAGGTGGGAAGTAGTGGAGTACAAATACTTCGTTACTGTACTTAAGTACATTTTTCTGGTATCAGTACTTTACTCCACTACTTATTTTTTACTTTTACTTCTTACATTTTCAAAACAGGCTGGTTACTTTAGTTTTAATCTGTGTTTGGTGGACGTTTGTCATCTAGGTCAGGGGTTCCCAAACTTAGCCATGCCATGGACCCCATATAGCATTATCCTCTGGCAGGGACCCCCTTGGTGCAATTTGTTTTTTTAAATGATGGGTACATTATGATGGAGAATATGACAAATTAATCATACAGCTTAATACATTTTCTTAATATATATTTGTATTAATAATTAATAATCAGTTATTCTTCTAAAAAATGTTTGTATGTATCTTTTGTTTGTCATTCATTACATTGATTGTGTCTTCTGTTAAACATTCTTAACACAATATTAAACAGTAATATCAACAGTAAACATATTTTTAAAGCATTTTTAAAGTGATTTCGGTCTTTATAATATTATATAATTTTGAACAGTAATATGAACAATTATCATATATTTTTAGCCTTTTTTAAAGCTACTTATGCCTTAATAATATTATATATAATATTCAACAGTAATATTAACAATAAACATATTTATATTCATATATATAAACATACACGGATACAAGCGGCCGAGATGGGTTTTCTCCGCAGGGTGGCTGGTGTCTCCCTTAGGGATAAGGTGAGAAGTTCAGTCATCCGGGAGGGACTCGGAGTTGAGCCGCTCCTCCTTCGCGTCGAAAGGAGCCAGTTGAGGTGGTTCGGGCACCTAGTTAGGATGCCACCTGGGCGCCTCCCTAGGGAGGTGTTCCAGGCACGTCCAGCTGGGAGGAGACCAAGGGGTAGACCTAGGACCAGGTGGAGGGATTATATCTCTTCGCTGGCCTGGGAGCGCCTTGGGATCCCCCAGTCAGAGCTGGTTGATGTGGCCAGGGAAAAGAAAGTTTGGGGCTCTCTGCTGGAACTGCTACCCCCGCGACCCGACCACGGATAAGCGGGAGAAGATGGATGGATGGATGGATATATAAACATCAATATTTGCTACATCCGTGCTCTCATCCAGCTGCAGAGCGAAATATTCACTAGCTCTCACTTGCTCCAGAAGCTGAGCAGATACTCAGTTTCACTCTCAGTAGCGGCAGCTCGATTCTGATTGGCCTGAAGGCCGGTCGTGAGATTTAAAAACAATAAAATATTAATCAATAAAAAATATTAAAAGATTGGCATCAAAGGAGGACACATAGATTGATAGATATGCAGTTATTAATAACATCTATAAAAAAAAAAGATTCCCCTTTCCCTCAAACTTTGCGTGACCCCCCTGGCGGCCCCCCGGGGGGTCAGGGCCCCCACTTTGAAAAACACTGATCTAGGTCATGTAATAGTGTTTAGGAGTTCCTCAAATTCTCTAGTTGGTAGAAAAGGAACTTCAATGCTTCCTTTATAATCTCCTTAAGCATAGGATACACTTCACTATCCTTTACAAAATGAAAGGAACAACTATCGTCATGTCGTAATTAAATGGCCGGGTGTAAGTGCAACACACTTGTTTTCCTAAACCCTGAACATTTATCCTCCAGATCTTCCTTTAACATTTGGACATCTCCTTTCCTTATCATGTGGAAGTTTTTTTTTAATCGATGACAAGAAAAAGTGGTTGTGAAAACACATAGGCCCTGATTTGTTTGACTTCTATCCACAACTCTTTGCTCTGCCCTACAGAGTTATTTGGGTTGGAGTTCAAACCCAGTTTCATGTCCTACTGGTAAACCATCAGAGGTGGGAAGTAGTGGAGTACAAATACTTCGTTACTATTACTGTAGTACATGTTTCTGGTATCAGTACTTTACTCCACTACTAATTTTTCTGACGACTTTTTACTTTGAATTCTTACATTTTGAACTCAAATACCTGTACTTTCTACTTCTTACATGTTGAACTCAAATACCTGTACTTTCTACTTCTTACATGTTGAACCCAAATACCTGTACTTTCTACTTCTTACATGTTGAACCCAAATACCTGTACTTTCTACTTCTCACATGTTGAACACAAATACCTGTACTTTCTACTTCTTACATGTTGAACTCAAATACCTGTACTTTCTACTTCTTACATGTTGAACTCAAATACCTGTACTTTCTACTTCTTACATGTTGGACCCAAATACCTGTACTTTCTACTTCTTACATGTTGAACTCAAATACCTGTACTTTCTACTTCTTACATGTTGAACTCAAATACCTGTACTTTCTACTTCTTACATGTTGAACTCAAATACCTGTACTTTCTACTTCTCACATGTTGAACTCAAATACCTGTACTTTCTACTTCTCACATGTTGAACACAAATACCTGTACTTTCTACTTCTTACATGTTGAACACAAATACCTGTACTTTCTACTTCTTACATGTTGAACACAAATACCTGTACTTTCTACTTCTTACATGTTGAACACAAATACCTGTACTTTCTACTTCTTACATGTTAAACCCAAATACCTGTACTTTCTACTTCTTACATGTTGAACCCAAATACCTGTACTTTCTACTTCTTACATGTTGAACTCAAATACCTGTACTTTCTACTTCTCTCATTTTCCAAACAGCTGGTTCCTTTAGTCTGAATGTGTGTTTGATGCGTGATCATTATTCTTTAGAGTCATTGCGTGCCTATTGATTTGAACACGATCCGTGTATCCATCATTTCCTGGTCTTCTCTAAAGAAGAGGGACCAATGGAAACGTTGTCATGTTGCCGTTGTTCAGCATGGAAACATTCATTAGCTAACAATGACATTATTGTTCTATTTTTACTGAAGTACATTTCAAAGCCTCTTTACTTTGACTTGAGTAAAGAAGTTTAGTCAGTACTTCTACTTTTACCAGAGTACTTTTAAACACGAGTATCTGTACTTCTACTTGAGTAAAGGATGTGTGTACACACCACAGTCCTGTTGACTTTTCCCTCCTGATTCCTCTCAGGAAAGCGCAGCGAGACGATCTTTGAGGACACGCGGGAGCCTCCGAAGAAACCTCTCCACCTGAAGGGCCAGATGAAGTACGTCCCCCCTTGGGACTCCCTCATCTTCCTGGGGACCCCCATGTAAGACCACCACCTACACACTGACTATGTTTAATGTTTCTGACACAGAATAGAGCAGTGCAGTGATGACGTATTTTGGTAGGCAGACCTGGAAGTCAGCAAAGCAAGAGGTCGCTCAACAAAATTAAAATGGATTGGATAAATGGATAAAAAACGGATAATAAATAAATGGATAAAATAAATAAAATAAATAAAATAAATAAAATAAATAAAATAAATAAAATAAATAAAATAAATAATAAATAAATAAAATAAATAAAATAAATAAAATAAATAAAATAAATAAAATAATAAATAAATAAATAATAAATAAATAATAAATAAATAAATAAAATAAATAAAATAAATAAAATAAATAAAATAAATAAAATAAAATAAATTAAATAAATTTTAAAAATTGACCCATTGGATTACTGCAGTAAATACACTTTGTGGCAAACACACGTTTATGTTACTTAACAAGTTTTGTTCAGAAGGATCATCTCAACATATTACCACCACTGGGATGTTCTAGGTATTAACTCAATAGGCAGAAATAAAAAGCTAACGTTAGACTATAAACCAATTGCATTACGGTAGCATGGTTGTGCATCATCACCGCTAAGCTAAAGGAAGCTAATGTTCGGCCTGATGGCATTTAGTAGCTTATTTAGACACTTGTTAGTAACCACGGTTTTTAAGATGCATAGAAGCTTCTGACATTTACCAGTGGGGTATACACTGACCTATTTTATGTTGTAGAAAAAAACTTGAAGATTGCGTAAGCTTGTGATAACTACAGACCTTATTTCTGGCTTCTCACCCAACAACATGTTAAAAAAAACATCGACTTCGAGACGAGGGAACCAGAGGTGGTAAAAAGCTGAGTCTTTTCTGTGATTTAGGATTCATTTCTCCGCCACTCTATACAAGCTCTTGTCGTGATTCAGATACCTTAACACTCAGGAAGTTAAAAGATTATAATGTTGTACAAAGACACAGAATACTTGAGCCAAGTCTAAGGCTGTCCATGTCAACACCTTAACGCTCACGATTAATCTGGAAACCTTAACATGTTGAAAGAAATGAACGCAAATTATTGACACCAATTTCGATTATGCGTATTATGCTTTTCTTTCCTTTTTATTATAAATGTTAGGGGTGGGAATCACCAGGCTCCCCACGATATGATACTATCACGATACTTAAGCCACGATACGATTGCAATTCTACGATATGCTGAGTATTGCGAAACGATATATTGCGATACTGCAAATCACATGCGTCATATCCATGTCTGTCTTCCCTTCCTAAAAAACTGTATTTGCAATATGAATAGTTTATGTAAATAACACCATTTGTGTTATTAGAACATTAAAAGGAGATGGCATTGTTTTTGTTACTTTCATTGCAATTGTATACATATCTTAACGTAACTTCCTGTTTTATAGACATGCGTTTATTTTGAAGGCGACTTTGCGCTATTAGCAGGAAGTTACTGTTCCCAAAGCAAAAACTTGACGGAGAAAAATAACGGAGATATCAACATTTAAATACAGCGATATCAAAAGATAAAGAACATTTAAGTATTAGTACCCCCGAAGAGGCACAAGGTTAGTGTTAACTGTAATGTAAAAATGTGGTTTGTGTCTTAATTCGTTTATATACTGTATTACAACTTTGCTAATTATTTGAAGTTCACTTGTTGAATGGTATTCTAAAGTTATGCTCCAACCCAGTCCCACGGCATTTCGTGTTATAGTCAAACATTTTTCGTGTCACACAGAACGATTTTAAAAGCAATGTATTTCTATTGGTAGTATGTTTGCACCACGTCTTTTTGTCCGGTCGGGTCTTGGAATACCGGAAGCTGTGTGTTTCATAAAAACATTTTCTTACTCAATATCTTACCCTAAGCCTAACCCTATCCCTTTTATTTTAAATTGTCTAATGTCGGAGTTTTTTTGCCGTCCGCGAGGAAAATAAATGGCTCAGAGCCTCAGAATACTGACATCTGTATTTTTTGTCATCTTTTTTTCCTTCTAATTTGTTATTATTTGGTGCAGGCACGAAACATACTACCAATAGAAATACATTGCTTCTAAAATCGTTCTGTGTCAGAATACTGAAATCTGTATTTTATTTGATCTGTTTTATTATTTACATTGTTTTTAAAAAGTCGTGTTGGTGAACACGAATCAATAGATTAATTTCGTGACTATAACATGAAATGCCGTGAGACTGTGTTGAATGCTCATATGGATGTAGATGTATTTGTTGTCTTGTGTCTTTGTGTAGCTCTTACGTTGGTTTTTGGAGTTTTCAATAAATTAGAAATCATCAGTCGACCATCTTTCTGAGGGATATGCTACAGATTATAAAATATCGATAATTGGCGTCCGTGCATCGATACAATATCGGCACGCAAAGTATCGCGATACTATGCTGTATCGATTATTTCCACCACCCCTAATACATGTATTCTTGTTTGCTCTCCTTACTTCTGCAGCATAGAGACAGTGGAGGACATGATAAAGATGGGAGTGTACGTGAACGATCTGAACCTGCATGACTCCAGCAGAGAGCTGATTCTGGCCGGGACGCAACAATCGGCCGAGCTACAGCTGGCCCTGGATCAGGTGAGGAAAAAAATCCCTTTTCTGCAGGGATGGAGCATTGCAGACAAAGCACACTTTGTACCAAATCCCAGAGCAGTTTGAGGTGGTTCACAGGGCTTTATAAATTGTACTGAAATATGGTTCCAAGTAGAAGCTGAATGATATGATACGCTGAGTGCACAACATGTAAGAAGTGCCAGTTTTCTGCATTAAAGCGCCCGGCCAGGTGAAAGCTCTGCTCCAGTATCGTTTTCACCCATTACATGCACCTCAGCAGGAGAGATGTGGATTAAGAGGATTAGAGAAGGCAGAGAGGGATTTTTGAGCTTTAAGAAGAGGTGAGACTGTAACTGTAGACTCTTTTGTCCAATTTCCCCATCCTCTAGGAGCAACAGAAATACGCTCAGCTGATGGAAGTCATCAAGACGCTGGACGAGGAGAAGAAGAGAGGAGATTCTTTGCTGTACGCCATGATCCCTAAAGCTGTGGCCGACCGCCTCAGGAAGGGGATCACTGCGCTGGAGACGTGCCAGGTACACAATAATACTCAAAAACACTGCGAGTGAGCACAGTATAACTGCCAAACTGAGGCCATAGACGTCTCGCAGTGATCCTAACCTGAGATGGCAAAAGTAAACACTGTCCCGAAATTGACACCAGATGGACCAACGAATATGGAATTGTGAATTTCGCACGAAGATGGCCCCGAACTTGGTCAACGGCCAAGCAACAGCCGAAGCAAGTACGATGCCTACAGAAGGCCACACGATGGCACCTGTTAGAAATTAAAATCAATGTTTTATGGCATAATTTAGTTTAAACATCAATTTAAATGCTGTGTTATACTGAAAAACCAGAAGTTCTCGCGCACAATCTCTGATGTCAAGCTTTAATTCTGAAAATCATTCATCTCCGGTTAGCATTTAGCATGTGGCTAATATTCCTTTTCCTATAGAGGTGAATTTAGAAGCCAAATGACACAGAGTGTTGCACACCGAAACCTACTTATTTTAAAACTACATCTATAGACGTCGAGATATTATTAATATTAAATGAAGGTATAGGTTATTTTAATACGTTTTGTTTACAGACGTGGGTAGCATATGACAACATCCGGGACTACCGTAAATTATAACTCGTAAAGTATTTCCAGTGTTTTTAAAGTATTGAATTACAGCGTTAAAAATGTATTAAATGAAAAGTCATGAAAGAGATAAGGAGAAGAAAAGGCGTGTTTAGTTATGTATTGAATTAACAATACACCACCTAAAATCCTCTGTTATGTGCGATATCGGACATTGGTGAAAGGAGGGCGGAAGATTACGCCACAGCCGCCATTGAAGAGGAGGAGCCAAATGAGATATATAGTCAGGTGACGGAGCCTCTTTCTGGACGGCTCCTCTCCTCTCTCTGAACAATTTCTCTGCTTGTAACATTACCGCGCCATTTTAATTAAAGTACCCATTTGAACCTTTCTCAGAGACTCCATTGTCTCTTACTTTTAAAGCTTCTCTCCTGGACGCGAGAATAACGAATAAGCTAATACACCCGAACCACACACTCCGTCATGTTGTTTCCATAGCAACAACAACTTCCTGTCAACAGCGTACACTCGCCTTCAAAATAAAAGCATCTAAATAAAACAGGAAGTTAACCTAAATTACATTTAAGACATACAACTGCAAAGAAAGTAACAAACAATGTAATCGCTGCGAGGGGGACCCAAGTTCCCATCAGCAAAAACACGTGGGTTTGCTGTCCTGGCTCCAGGATGGTGGAATGAGCTCCCCATTGACATCAGGACGGCAGATAGCTTGCACATCTTCCGGCGCAAACTGAAAACTCATCTCTTTCGACTCCACTTCGAGCGATAGAACTATTAACGAAGCACTTTTATACTAATAAAGGACTGGCTTATCTAAAGCCAGTTGAGTAGCACTTGAAATGTTTGGCTCTATGAAACCTGATGTACTTATATGATTCTGTTTTCTTCAAGGTTGTATTTTGTTGGTCGAACGCACTTATTGTAAGTCGCTTTGGATAAAAGCGTCAGCTAAATGCAATGTAATGTAATGTAATATCCTTTTCAGTTTCACAGAACACAAGTTGTACTATAATACGATGGCTACACGACGGCATTGCGAGGGCTTCACGTAGTTGTGTGATCTTCCTAAGACAATCGGGCAGCTTCTTGATTCCTTCGTATTGTCTTCGTGAGGCGATAAATGCCCGATGGCACCGATGATCACACGAAGTAAAGACGAAGATGACATGATTTTTGCCCTCACGATAGCCTTACGAAGGGCAAAATTGACACACAAATTCAACACTAAAATTAACCTTCGCAAGGTATTTCGGCAATTTGTTGGCATGCCAAAGATTTTGCCACCGCTCACGAAGTTGCTGCCGGAGCCTGAGAAACTCCACCGGCGGTCATACGATGGCTTAAGATGCCGAATTTGAACATTTCCTTTATCGTGTGTCCATCTGGTGTCCATTTCGGGACAGTGTGACGCGGGCTTTACTCAAGTAGAAGTACAGATAATCGTGTTTAAAAATACTCTGGTAAAAGTAGAAGTACTGACTAAACTCCTTTACTCAAGTAAAAGGGCTTTGAAATGTAAAAAGTACCCATAACTACCATCTGTTTTAAAGAGTACCTGTGTACCTTTACATTAATAGAACAATAATGTCATTGTTAGCTAATGAATGTTTCCATGCTGAACAACGGCAACATGACAACGTTTTCATTGGTCCCTCTTCTTTAGAGAAGACCAGGAAATGATGGATACACGGATCGTGTTCAAATCAATAGGCACGCAATGACTCTAAAGAATAATGATCACGCATCAAACACACATTCAGACTAAAGGAACCAGCTGTTTGGAAAATGAGAGAAGTAGAAAGTACAGGTATTTGGGTTCAATATGTAAGAAGTAGAAAGTACAGGTATTTGTGTTCAACATGTAAGAAGTAGAAAGTACAGGTATTTGTGTTCAACATGTAAGAAGTAGAAAGTACAGGTATTTGTGTTCAACATGTAAGAAGTAGAAAGTACAGGTATTTGTGTTCAACATGTAAGAAGTAGAAAGTACAGGTATTTGAGTTCAACATGTAAGAAGTAGAAAGTACAGGTATTTGTGTTCAACATGTAAGAAGTAGAAAGTACAAGTATTTGGGTTCAACATGTAAGAAGTAGAAAGTACAGGTATTTGTGTTCAACATGTAAGAAGTAGAAAGTACAGGTATTTGAGTTCAACATGTAAGAAGTAGAAAGTTCAGGTATTTAGGTTCAACATGTAAGAAGTAGAAAGTACAGGTATTTGTGTTCAATATGTAAGAAGTAGAAAGTACAGGTATTTGTGTTCAACATGTGAGAAGTAGAAAGTACAGGTATTTGAGTTCAACATGTAAGAAGTAGAAAGTACAGGTATTTGAGTTCAACATGTAAGAAGTAGAAAGTACAGGTATTTGAGTTCAACATGTAAGAAATAAAAGTAAAAAGTCGTCAGAAAATAAGTAGTGGAGTAAAGTACTGATACCAGAACTTAAGTACAGTAATGAAGTATTTGTACTCCACTACTTCCCACCTCTGATCCTAACACATCCTTTACTGAAAGGAAGCACGAGTCTAGCATTTCAAGTTCGTATTTTTCTGTCAATCCAATGCACACGGATGTCAGAGGTCAGCCATGCAACATTGCTTTTAGATTAGCAGTGACCTCCACAGGAAATGGAACTGCCATTTTTACACAAGCAACATTTTACACCAACAAATTAACTTCACTCGCAGCAGCTGTGCAAAAGGAGTGAGGAGAAGTGAGAAGGGTTTTTTTGCCAACAGGGTCCAAAGATGTCTGAAGGCGGACATGAAGGTAAAGGTCAATGTTATTGACATTCAAGACCAAACATCAATACATATTTAAAAAAGCAGCAGAAAAACATTTAGACAGAACCGATAGGACAAAAATAAACTAATGTAAAAGCACGAGACAATAAAAACCATACCTATAGCCTTCAGACTGAAAACCCTCATACACGATGTAAAAACATTTTAGAACACAACAATTTAGAAAACACAGACTGATACGTCTCAAACGTGGTCTGCAAAGGCACGGGAGAACAAGTAGGTCTTTAAACGAGATTTAAAAACAGGCAAATCATCATAATCATAACATATATTATTTGTTTTTTATCCAAGGTCTTCCCCGATGTGACCATCCTGTTCAGCGACGTGGTGAAGTTCAACGAGATCTGCATCCACATCACTCCCATGCAGGTGGTGGACATGCTGAACGAGATCTACATCGTGTTCGACACGCTCAGCGAGAAGCACAACGTCTATAAGGTCAGTGGGAAACCGCCTGATGCAGGACTGCAACTCGAGATCCTTTTCATTATCGAAATTAAATATTTTCTAGATTATTGTTTTTGTCAGGGAATAATTCTGTATACATGCAGGCTTGGGCAGCCGCTATCTCCCTTAAAGGTGGGGTAGGTACGTTTGAGAAACCGGCTCGAGATACACTTTTTGTTACATTCCATGGAATGCTCTTAACATCCCGATAGCAATGAATATCTGAAGTACTTTGACAGAAAATCCATTAAAAAAAAGTCATCTGTGGAAGCCGTAGTACTGTAAAAAGCACGACCAATCATCTGAGCCGGCCCGGCTAAAGTAACTGGATGGCCTACCTGCCTGTCAGCCTTCCATCGGGGCACAAACTTATCTCGTGCCCTCATTGGTCATGTGCGCGTTCGTGTGTGTTGGAGGAGGGGCTCTGTAAGGAAGTGGCACATTTTCTCCGGTTGTGTATTTTCAAATTCTAGCGATCTCGAGCCGGTTTCTCAAACGTACCTACCCCACCTTTAAGGAGGGGCTGCCCAAGCATTTTGTTGTTGTTACCAGTTTATGACCGGGCAACTCTCGGATAGTTATTGTTGTGGGACACCTGCAACACATCCTTCTCGGGGTGTAGATGACCCTATGTCCTCAGCTGTTTAGTCTAATGAAGAATGTTGATTATTACACTCTGAACTAGTTCAACCTGGAGCTACAGGAGGGCTCTTCAGAATTGATTGTGGCATCTCAACCGTGTGGTCAACTCGTGGCCCGTGACATGTTCTCCGGCCGAAGCTCCAAATAAACCGTCAGTGTTTGCCATCAAAGCTCCAGCTCTCCATCGTGTTTCTCTCTGAGTCCTGACTCTCCAATTGCTTCAGAAGTTTCCCCCACAGTTTTGATCTTTAACAATGTCAGAAATGATTGGCAAAAAGTCCAACCCAAAGTCCAAGGGGAATTCTTTAGATGTTTCGTGAGTCCTTTTCGACATTAAACAGAGTAACTGAGGAAATCTGCATATTATTAAAGCATGAAAAACGCTCAGCGAGAAGCACGTCTATAAGGTCCGTGAAAAACAGCCTGATGGACTGAAACTCAAGATCCTTTTCATTATCGATTCATCTGCCAAATATTTTCAAGATGAATTGTTTGATCTTAAAAAATGTCCAAGGGGGATTCTTTGTATTTTTTTTTAAGTCCAATTCGATATAACTGAGAAAAACTATATTATTAAAAGCCTGAAAACAGCCTTTTCTGACATTTTTGCAGGGGAAATTATTTAAGCAATTATTCGACAATCAAAAATAGTTGGCAGCTATTTTCCTGTCACATTGAAAAATGTTCTAATTTTGCAGCTCTTGCCTGATGTGCATATTTACACTTTACTTTCAACTCTCGTTTATTTTGAGATGTACTTTTGACAAATGTTTATGATCAGTTTTTGTTGCCTAATATTTCTCTATTTCCTGAATGTAAAATGAAAGCTCATACTTTTTTTTTTACATTTTCCTTCTACGTATATAATTGAATCAGAATATATCAGTGACGTGCGGTGAGGTTCATGGCTGGTGAGGTTCATGGCTGGTGAGGCACTGACTCTTTCAGAGTCAGATTTACAAATATTATATTTTGACCTTAATCGAAATATTTGGTTATTTTCAAAAGCTTTTTTAGTCTGATGCTTCGATTCATTTTAAACAGACCGTTCAACAAAAGGATACCCACAATCTAAATATTGGATTGTTCTTTCTTAGTAAGATCCCATGTTCATTACAATTGTGGTCTTACCTTGACTTGAAGATGAAGTCCATGCTATCCTTCTGGACAACAATCTCTTACTTTTTTGTAAAAGTCCTCCTTATCTTCCTGTAGTTTCAAAAGTCTAGTTTGTTGTTCGCGTCTATACCGTCTCTGCGTAGAATAACAGTAGCAACAAGGACCTGTGGGCTCACTTGCGCCCCCTTCAGTGCGGCAGAGGTTATGGCTGCCTCCCCTGGTGCTTTTTTCATTGCCGTTGTAGGATGAGACCAGCGGGCCTAAATATCATATATACGTGAAATAAGTTATTTAGAGACTATGGATGGCGAGGATAAATGTAATAAAGGGATCTACAAACATTACATTGGTGACATACAGTGAGATGGTGCAGGCATGCGCTTAGGGCCCGCTTTCCAGACAGTTTCTGTGGGGTGACGCATTCTGAGGTGAGGCAGAGCTCATCTGTGCCTCACCTCACCCCACAGTAACTGGCTTGAGCGCGCTCACAAAATAAATGCCCGCGTTAAATTAGTGACCGCGCTCCAGCCAGTTACTGCGGACTTACGAGAGGCAGAGCTCGTCCCTGCCTCACTCCTCATCGCTACCCGTAGTTGTAGCGGAGCTCGGCAAATTTGCTGATTTTGACTATAAAAAGCGATTGGAATCAAACATAAATCACATTTACAACACAGATCAGTGGAGACATTTTATTATTATTACTATTTAGTTTTTCTTTAGTTGTTTTCCCGTTACATTGGAGTATGACAGGTGAGGCTCTGCCTCCCCTGACTGCACGTCGCTGGAATATATATATATATACTTAAATGTGATTATTTTGACTTTAACTTCTATGTTTATATCAATATTTATATGATTTATTTTTGTATTGGACATTTTACCTTAACTTTATTATATTTATTTTATTATGCATATTCAATCTTTGACTTCATTTTATTCTGACATTGTGCAACTGTCACGAAACACAATTTCCCTCCGGGATAAATAAATAGTCAGATCCTGATTCCTGACAAATGTAATCAATGAGAGAAGTGTGTTAGTCTGTCTGTAGTTACCGTCTCCCTCCTTTCGACACACACATTCATCAAAGATATTGAAGTGACTGCTATTTTCTATATATTGATTATTTCTTAATGTGTGCATATGTATACATGTGTGTGTTGATTGTATATGTATATACTTATTTGTATATATATTTGTATTTTTTTGTATTCGAGATTGTGGGAAACGGTATTTCGATCTCTCTGTACACACAAACTGAAAGGTTGACAATAAAGTTGACTTTCTGTGCAGGTGGAGACGATCCGCGACGCCTACATGGTGGTGGCCGGGGTTCCCAATAAAACCACCTTTCACGCGCACCATATCTGCGACATGGCGCTGGACATGCTGAGCTCCATCGACCACCTGAAGGACCCGTCCACCGGGGACAACATCCAGATCAGAGTCGGTGAGCAGCAGCTTCAGTCAGATCACTTCCAATTCAATCCAACTTCATTTATATAGCACATTTAAAAACAACAGAGTTGACCAAAGTGCTTGTCACTGGTCCCCGGCTTGAGCTTCAGCCTCAGGATCCATGTATCTGTGATCCTCTCCAGAATGGAAGTAGTCATCACATACAGAGCATCAACTAGTTCCTGAACAGTGTCCTTCACATGCTGATATCCAAGAGAGGGAGTTACACAGTCACAAGATGGAGGAATAGAAAGCAGTATTCCATGTTTACTTCAGATTAGCTCCACGTCAGAAATGAGCATGCTTGATGTCTCTCTCCATAGAGGCTGAATCATCATGTTAATCACATAGCTATCATATGCCTCAAACAGTCCTGATGCTCTTCTAGGTAATCACACATCCTGTCATGTTCACAGCTACAGTTGGGATACCTTTGTTATCATGTTACTCTCAGATTGGAAGAGGACATTTAGGATTTTCCCAACACAGGTCAAGCTGTACATCAATAAATATATAACAAAACACCATAAATACATTTAGACAAAACCGATGGGACAAAAATAAACTAATGTAAACGCACGAGACAATAAAACCATACTTATAGCCACAGACTGAAAACCCTCATACACGATGTAAAAACATTTGAAAACACAACAAAATGGAAAACCCCAATTTAGAAAACACACATTGATACGTCTCAAACGTGGTCTGCAAAAGCACGGGAGAACAAGTAGGTCTTTAAATTAGATTTAAAGACAGGCAAAGAGACGGATTTATTTTCAATTGGGAGGTCAGAGAGAGCTCAGGGTCAGACCTCGATCACAGAGTGTTTTGATCCTTAGACTTTAGACATGTTAAGGTTGGGCTTTTTAATCCTCTGAATCACCTTGAAGAGACATCTTGAGATCTTGGAGCACAATAGAAAGCTTTAGTTTGAAATAGAAGACCAAGGTAACGTACAAAGTTAGACAAAGACAGTGTCTCCTTACCGTCACAAGGGGTCGCTGTACTGCAGTTAACACTAAACACGGACATGTTGGCAGAAAGACGAGAGACATTTCCCTCAATATGGATCATATTATTGTTTGTTTTATTTTATTCAACCTTTAACAGGATAGGGTCTCATTGAGATGAAACAAATCTGTTTTTTAAGAGAGTCCTGGCCCAAGATGGGTAGCAGAACAGTTAGAGACAATTTAAAACACCCAATCTCAACACAATCATACAACAAGTATCAGCCAAAGCATTTACAGCCACAGCGGCCTGCTTCAAAGTCATAGTCGCTTTGAGTCTGTTTTAAAGAGACCAGACCTCTGAGTTTCAGCTCGTTGTGAAGCGTAGCTAAACGCCCTCTTCCCCAATTCAGTGCAGACTTTTGATTCAGATTGTCAAGGCTTTTATTGTCATTACAGGGTTCCTACGGTCATTCAAAACCTGGAAAAGTCATGGAAATTCAAAATGCTATTTCCAGGCCCTGGGAAAGTTATGGAAAACAATATTGTTCCCACATTTTGGAAAAGTCATGGAACTAAAGTTGCATCAAATATAATTTATATTTTATCTAATCGCCGAAATAGTAATACTATAATGATAATAAATACTGTATCGTATAGTAATGAAACGTAAAATGGCATTTAACTGTCGAGGTATTTTGCTGGTGTGAGATTTTAGTTGCTTTAGCGTGTAGAAGCTAGTAAGCCTATTTGATTTGTTTTAGATAGGCACGACATGTTTCATATGCAGAACTTATTTTCCTGTTCCATGTTCAAATAAACCATTTCCAGTGGTACCGCTGAGAAAGAGTAATTTTTTTGGTCATGGAAAATTAGGTAAAGGTCCTGGAGAAGTCATGGAGAAGTCATTGAAAATCATTGGTGAAAAAGTGTATGAACCCTGACTTTAGCTACAGTGTAGATATGGCAATGAAAAACTAAAGTCACCGGCTCCACCCACAATGCAACATGAATATATAGGACATAAAACAAATACAAGCAGATAAAATAGTGCAAGAGAATGTTTTGAGATGTGCAAGTAATACAAATAAAATTGAAATTGTGTAAGAAGAGTCTCTATACAATATATATGATATATAGATAAATAATTTGCAAGATGCAAAGAGATGAATGTTTCTGGATGTTCTTTACAGTCTTTACAGATGTTTGGTACAGTTAGTTACAATTAGTGGTGTCAATTGGTAAAAAACGATTTTTGAGGCTGTAGCAGAATGGTAATGTTCAACATGAGAGTATATTACTAATTCATCGCCTTGTTATAAATTCTGTTTCTTGGCTGTTCTTGATGGTTATGATCTGGTTTTATGTCCATTCTGTTTCATTCTTGCACATAACATTAAGATAATAATTGGTTTGAAGAAGCATCAAGTTAAAGTACTGATGATACAGTGGAAAATACGCTTAGAAGTAGAAGCATTCAAAATGATTCTTGAGGAAAACTTGGCTTAGTAATAAACCCAAAGGACAAAAGCTAATAGTGCATTTCAGAATAGTACAAAGGATATAACTGTATAATAATTATTGGTGTAAATACATAACTCTAATGTTGCCGGTGGTAAAGATGGGGTTATATTTATTTAATCTGTATTTAGTTACTAATGTCAGATACATGTAGTGCAGGAAAAGGTACAACATTTTATAATTTGTACCTTGGATTTGGAAGTATAACATTGGAAAAATTGAAAATATTAATATACTAATAAAATATAATATACTCTTGAAATACCCATAGCAATACAAGTACAAACATATTTGCTTTAAAATTAACTTAAAGTACAAAAGCTAATAGTGCATTTCAGTATAGTACAAATGATATTACTGGATGATAATGATTGTATACATAACTCTAATGTTAGGTGGTAAAGATGGGGTTCAATTAACTTAATCCGTATTTACTATGTAAGTCGCTGCACATTATCCCGCTCAATCTTTTTTCCTGAAACTTTCAGAATCTCTTTACACATGTTGATGTAGAAGAGACATGAAAAAGTGGATTTTGCATAATAGGTGACCTTTAAACCAGCGAGATTTGCTCCTATAAACTGTTTTCCTCCGTTCTCTCAGGTGTTCACTCGGGGATGGTGGTGGCAGGTGTGGTGGGGCTGAAGATGCCCAGGTACTGTCTGTTCGGAGACACAGTGAACACCGCCTCCAGGATGGAGAGCAACGGAGTGGTGACTATACTGACATAATAACGATAACATGTGCTAAATAACCCCAAAGGCTATAGAGCAGGGGTGTCCAAACTACGGCCGGGGGGGCCAAATGCGGCCCGCGGTGCATTTTGAATTGACCCTCAGCAAATAAAAAAAATATAATGCAGTATGGCCCTCAAATGAAACTTGTGCTTGTCTTATATTGTATTCTTAAATATACAAATATATCACACAGTAGTATTCATGTGTTAAAAGACCACTTTTCAAATAAATTCAGTCAATTCAAGTTCATTTTCTAACATATCTTAGTTGATAAGAAAAAAGCCCAATGACTTATTTACATAGGCTACACCCTTCCTATTTCTCCTTATTATAATCGATCTGAAGCTTCTGTTTTAAGGGATAAGCTGCCAACACTCACAAGTACGGTGGCCCTGAAGTGCAAGACACCACAGCATTTCACAAAACACAACAGCATTTCACAAAACACAACAGCATTTCAGAAAACACCACAGCATTTCACATTGGACGGAAAGGGTATTCCTTAGGGAGAACACTTCTTGTTTATGATTGGACAGAGCCAGCCAGAGAAGCACTGCTTTGATTGGTTGTTTTTGCTGCCAGTGAAGAAATGACGCTTCGTGATTGGTCAACGCCCGACAGCGCAATATGTCCCAACACATCAGCCGTTAGCACACACTCAGAGCTCACAGCTCCTCATATCTGTTCAGAAACTGGACAAAAGTTAAACATGTACAAACCACAGACTGTCTGTGTCATGGTGAATACAGTCACTGCTTTATTTATGTCTGTATGACGTTGTGAGTGTGGACGGAGCAGCTACAGGTTAGTTTAGCCTGATGGACTGATTCCATTCAGAAAACACGCATTTTAAAAGCTTTTCGCCTGCCGTCTTGTCTGCAGACTTGTCAAAGCATTAATTCATGGTTTTTACTAACCGTTATCAGTATGTAGTTGCTTCGGCATCACTTTGAAACGTGTATTACAATGAAATCACGGTCAAATATGTTCATTTTGTTGTAGTTGGTATCTCCCATAGGATTTACTTGGAGATACGCCCCGCCCCCTCTCCAGCGCGTCTTGTTTGAATGACAGGAGCAAACACAGCTGACAGCCGCGGTGAAACTCGAGCGATTAGAGCGATGCGAATATTGGGTGGTCTACCATAGTATTTACATGGAGATAAGCCCCTTAAAAACCATGAATGAATAAAGCATTAATTCTGTGTTTACTCCTGTCATTCAAACAAGACGCTGGAGAGGGGGCGGGCCGTATCCCCATGTAAATCTTATCGGAATCGGATCGATCAGGCTAAACTAACCTGTAGCTGCTCCGTCCACGCTCACAACAACGTCATACAGACATAAATAAAGCAGCGACTGTGCTGTTGTATTTGCTGTAAAGTGTCTCTACTGTAGGCTATTTTTATTTTATGTACAGCACTTTGGCTGGACCAAAAATCGTTTATAAATGTGCTATATAAATAAAACTTGATTTGATTTGATTTGAGTGACTATATTCGCCATGACATAGACAGTCTGTGGTTTGTATATGTTTAACTTTTGTCCAGTTTCTGAACAGATATGAGGAGCTGTGAGCTCTGAGTGTGTGCTAACAGCTAACGGCTGATGTGTTGACCAATCACGAAGCGTCATTTCTTGACTGGCAGCAAAAACAACCAATCACAGCAGTGCTTCTCTGGCTGGCTCTGTCCAATCATAAACAAGAAGTGTTCTCCCTAAAGGAATACCCTTTCCGTCCAATGTGAAATGCTGTTGTGTTTTCTGAAATGCTGTTGTGTTTTGTGAAATGCTGTAGTGTCTTGCACTTCAGGGCCACCGTACGCAAGCATACTTTACCTATATTTGATTGATTTTGCTAACTTATAACTGACGCTAGTGCGTGGCCCAGCCCTTCGTATATCTTTCTGTACAGTATGTGGCCCTGCTCTAGAGTAAAAATGACTGCAACGTGATTTCCCCGAGTCAAATTAAAGAAGATTAGCACAGAAAACCATTTCCTGTTTAATGACACCATGCTGCTTTTGAGTTAATGCGGCAGGCTTCATTTGCTTTCCATTACTTACAGTAATACGAGTTAATGTCATGTTTTGTTGGAACATGGTGAAAAGAAAATTAATTAAAAAGGGGGAGGCAGTGTGTGAAGGCTTAATATCGTCACTAAGAAAACCCTCATTTGAGTCCAGCAGCTTAATGTCTTCACTCCCCTTTGATGATCTTAAAGGGGTTTTATTAAACATGGAGTGTGTGTTTCAATGCTGTGTGTGTGTGTGTGTGTGTGTGCGTGTGCGTGTGTGTGTGAGAGCAGGGCATGCAGATTCACATCAGCCAGACCACCAAAGACCACCTGGAACACGAGCCCTATATCATCGAAGAGAGGGGCAAGATATTTGTGAAGGTGAGTACACACACGGCTTTGGGTTATTTATTAACGTCAGTGCATGGCTCATAGATAAATATATATTTAGTTATAGCACCAAAGTGAACTAAAGCTATGTATATCATTACACAGTTCACAGTGTTTAGTTTGTTTTAGTAGTTTACCTATTCCTGCTTTTAACTTGCACCATTTGATCAAAAGCACTATTTTCTAATGCATTGCTTTACTTCCTTATTTCTTTTATGTACAAAATATATTTTGCAGTGCCTTTACAAAAAATCACTTATTGAGATTTGGATTATCTTTAATACTTTACATGTAGTATTGTAGCTGTGATCAGCCGGGGGGATCTATTTAAAGGGACATCTACTTTCTGATGTCTTTTATACATAAACATGTGTCCCCGGTGTGTCAGGGAACTCAAGCAGCGTCAGAAAATAAAACCCTCTCTCTTTTCCTCCGTACCCAAATCTCTAAAAACGGGGAACAACGGAGCTGATCCAGATTTGCGTCCGATATGACGTAATATCTGAAATGTGGACCCACGGCCCAATCAGAAACGTTGCTATCAGAAACATTGCCCGACTGTTTTGGACGTAATATGGTCGGTGTTTACATTAGCATCGCTAACACTCAGAGCTAACCTGTACTGGAGAGCATGTGTGTGAAGAAGCAGGAAGTAAAAAGGAACTCACCTTGTGGTATAACCGGCAAGAGAGAAAGCCTTTGAGTTCCATACTGTTTCAGAGAGAATCCTTGATAATCCATGATATGGCGTTTCATCACGGCAGTATTTAGTTTAGACAGTAGCTGCCGGGTCCCGCATGAGCTCAGCCCCCTCCTTTTTTATTTTAAATCAATTTATTTTCTTTTTTTTAAAGCTTTATTCCCAAAATCAGCACTTTTGAAACAGGAAGTGAAACAGAGGGATATGAGGCATGGCTAGAATGGGTGATCTGTTTGGTATTTTGAACCAAACACTGTTTTTTATATATTTGTATACATCTGAGACCTATGCTATCGCCTACAAATAGCATGATAGGTGACCTTTAAGATTAATAAAAATAAAGTTATGTAAAGATGTGTTCATTGCAATACCATACATGAGTGACCCGACAGTGAAGAATACATATATGTTTAACTAGTGTAGCTTGTTCCAGATGTAGATCAAATAGCTAAGTGTGTGTTAGGTCTAACTCGTGTGTTTCGCTCCGCTTACCGGTCCGGCGGGCGGAGCTGCAGGATTTCTGCTTCACACACGTTGCATACCGCTATTTTACTGTCTTTTTCGGACACCTTAAAATACTGCCAGACCGGTGAAGCCATTTTGGCGAGCTTGTTTTGCCGCGCACAGAGAACAGTGTCATGTATTTTACGTCATGCGATCGGCTCTCGCGATCTGCATGTTTAGAGAGCACCGATCGATCGGTAGAGAGTGAGTATCGGCCGATCGGTGACCGATCGATCGGAGCATCCCTAATAGCAATAGAAGAATAGTTAAAGAAAGGCCAGGTGCAAGGTCGAGTGCATGTCTTATGAAGTGCAGGTTGTTCCTACATGTTGTCACCAACATTCGTACACAGTATTTCTGATCACCTCACTGTCTTCCAGGGTAAAGGCTACATGAAGACCTACTGGCTGAAAGGGAAGAGAGATTTATCGTTCAAGACCCCGGCAGAGCTGCGATACAGCGCCGAGCAGAAGGAATCTGAGGACAAGAGCTCTAATGGGTGAGTTACAGGAGAAAGGCAGTGTGCAGCAGAGCAGCACTTCTCCTTTTGTGCACAGCGAGGACTCAGGAAGCCCCCCGTAGAGAGGGTCTGAGACTGATCATTGCCCCCCGCAGACCCAGACAGCAGCATTAGGGGATTTGTTTGTTAGGAGGTGTCATGCTGACCAACAAAATCAAAGTGTTCACCCAGATAGCAGAGAAACCACTTTGTTACTGAAGCAACACGAACACAAGATGATGTGAACTGGCAACAAACGCAGACAAAGAGCTGATATTCAAAGTCAATGTATTGTCAATCTTTCAGTTTGTGTGTACAGACAGAGAGATCGAAATACCGTTTCCCGAATTCCCAAAAATACAAATATATATAAAAATATGTATACACCTATACACAATCAGACACATTTTTACCTGTGCTCACATTAAGACATAAATAAAAGCACAACAATCAATATATACAAAATAACAGTCACTTCAATATCTTTGGGAAATCTAACACACACACACACACACACATACCATGTATACATCACTTCAGGGGACATTACATTGACTTACATGCATTTCCTGGAGACTTACCCTAACCTTAACCATAACCAACACATGCCTAACCCTTACCCTTACCCTAACCCAAACCTAACCAAGTCTTCACCCCTAAAATTAATGATTCCCCTCATGGGGACCTCCAATTTGTCCCCATAAGGGAGGCCAGTCCACACACGTGACTGTGTAAACAGATTTAGGTCCCCACAAGTATAGTAATGATAGGACAAACACACACACACACACACACACACACACACACACACACACACACACACCTCATTGTTCCATATAAATAAGTAGTAAAATGTAATATTGTGTGGCACTGCACCCACACCTTCGTTCTCCCCAGTGAAGAACAACACAACATTAAAATGTGTTGAAACAAAACTGGCAACGCAGCAATATAAAAAAAGAGTTCCTGAAGTCAAGCCTTTGAGACTTTTATTATTAAAAAAGAAATTATTCTGCAGCTTAAAGTAGAACTTGTTCCCAGTGCAGTTTTTCTTGCTTCAAGTATTATTTGGAAAAAGAGCCTTTTGAAATATTTCAATCTCAGTTTCTAAAAGTCCAAGATGGTGTCTTTGGATGTTTTGTTTTGTAATCCCACAAGCTCAAACTTGTTGTTTTTCTGACATGTTTCACAAAGATATTTACTATTTTTCTGTCAATTTGCTCATTGTTTTTGAAATAATACATGCCCATTTGGGAAATAACATCTCTCAAATGACAATTGTATTTGATTTGTTGAGACAGCTATGATTATAGGGCAGGGATAAACCCTATCTCATATCAGAGGGATTGTTGATGTACCTACAGACATTAACATATATCTTAATATGCATAACTCTTTCATATCACTTTACCTAACTCTAAGGCATATACTTTATTATATTATTTAATTGTTTTACTATCTGTGCTGCTCTATTTCAGGGATCAATAAAGGGTTATCTTTCTAACTATCATCCTTGCAGCATAATGCAAAAGTAGTAGTTCACTGATAACTACGTTTGTTTGTGTTTTTGTGATGAGAAACTAATACTGTGTAAATGTACTAGCTCCATCAGCTCCAACACCAAGCGCATGGGCTCCAACCTGAACATCGGGGGCAGCCGGGAGCATGTGGAGGGCAAGCCGAGCCCCTGCGACCTCCCTCTGGAGCACGCCCCCCCGCCAGAGGTCGAGCCCGCCGCCATCTCAGACGAGCCCCACGACAAGGAGAAGGCCAACAAAAAGACTAAAAACAACAAGGGGGCAAAGATGGAGGGGCCCCCGGTGATCGCTGTGATCGAGTCTTTGCCCCCCGAGGAGACCCCCGCTCCGCTCATCAACAGCAAGAGGAACAGCTTCAGGCAGCAGTACGCCAAGCTGCCCACCGCCAAACTGCCCATGAGGAGCGCCTCCTGCTGCCTCCTGTGAGCGGAGAGTTTGTGATAATCAAACAAAACCCAACATGAGACCAGGGGGTGAAGATTAATATGCTATTGGAGGTTAATCAAGGGGGGGGGTGATGACATTTAACATGTTGCAGTGACTGACAATCTGCATTTTAACAAGTGGTGGAAGAAAGAAGTAGTTAAAAGTAGAAGTATCAGATATTTAAGGTCAACATAAAAACAAAACACAGACCCACTAGAGTCCCGAAAGGAACAAGAAGAGAACAGAACAGCATCACAATCACAACATCTCTAGTAGAAACAAAAGCCAATAAGATGTGTCTTCGGTTGTTTTTGTAAAGGCTTCTACAGAGACTGCAGATGTCAATAGGGAGAGAGTTCCAGTGTTGGAGCACCACCAAAGTATGTGATTATAAAACAAACCCCAACATGGGACCAGGGGGTGAAGATAAATGTACGATTGGAGGTTAATCAAGGGGGAGAAATAATGAAATGTAACATCTTGCAGTGACTGACTATCATCGCATTTCAACACGATGTGCAGGAGATTATTTAACTCGATTAAAAGTAGAAGTATCAGATTTTAGATTTACTCTGTTCAGTGTCAAAATGATCTAGTTCAATAAGCTCCTTTACAAAGTGCTGACAATATCATTGGTGTTTAATTCAACATTTTGCAGTGACTAACAATCTGCATTTTAACAAGTGGTGGAAGAATATATTTAAGACAAACCCCAACATGTGACGAGGGTCTGAAGCTAAATGTACCATCGGAGGTTAATCAGACGGGGAAATAATGAAATGTAACATCTTGCAGTGACTGACTATCGTTGCATTTCAACACGATGTGGAGGAGATTATTTAACTCGATTAAAAGTAGAAATATCAGATTTTAGATTTACTCTTGTCAGTGTAAAATCTTGCTTTCAATAAGCTCCATTACCAAGCGCTGTCATTGGAGGTTAGTTGGTGGAAATTCAACATTTTGCAGAGACTGACAATCTGAATTTTAACACGTGGTGGAAGAAAGAAAGTAAAAGTAGAAATACCACATTTTAGATCTACTCTGTTCAGTGTCAACATTATCTAGTTCAATAAGCTCCTTGGTGGTGGAAGAATATATTTAACTCAAGTACGTGAAGACAAACCCCAACATGTGACGAGGGGGTGAAGATAAATATATACCATTGGAGGTTAATCAGACGGGGGAATAATGAAATGTAACAGTTTGCAGTGACTGACTATCATCGCATTTCAACAAGAAATTATTTAACTCAAGTAAAAGTAGAAATATCACATTTTAGATTTACTCTGTTCAGTGTAAAAGTCTTGCATTCAATAAACTCCATTACCAAGCGCTGTCATTGGAGGTTAGTTGGTGGAAATTCAACATTTTCCAGCGACTGACAATCTGCATTTTAACAAGTGGTGGAACAATATATTTATCTTAAAGTAAAAGTAGAAATATCAGATTGTAGATTGACTCTGTTCAGTGTAAAAGTCCTGCATTACCAAGCGCTGAAAATGTCATTCGAGTTTAATGAGGCCAAAAAAAGGAACCAGTCGTGGAAGTAAACAAATATCAATCAAACATATATTTAGAGTACCAAAAGCAAGAGGAATCGTCAATATGTGTTTTGCCTCATTTCAGAAAATCCAGAGTTAGATTATTGATGCATTCATGTGTTCATAACGTCTGATAAAGGTGAAGATAACTGTAAGACTTGTATGCTATTCTTATTCCTGTTGCTGCTTAAAACAGCTGTCTTGGAAAGGAACATATAATCTATCAAGGCTCCAAACACTTCCCCATTCTTCATGTTGAACTCCATCTGACTTGAGAAAAAGTACAATAAGCCTTTTGCATTTCAATAAGTAGAGTTAATAACATATCGTATTTAAAATGCCTAGTGTAAATTCGTTTTACATATATGTGCTTTAATTGTGCCTAAATGGACCATACATGTGCTTTAAAGGGATAGTGGAAATCCGCGAATTTTGGGTTTAACTTGTGTATTTGTATTAAAAATAAGCATAATAAACCATTTTTTTTAATTTCATGCGCCTAGTTTCATTTTATTTTCAATTTTACTGCGCCCTCTCAATGAAACGAAATACTTCGGGAATCTTCGGGTGATGACGAGAGCAGAGGAAGACGGGCACAAACAATGGCGGACATTCAATAGCATTTGCATGGTGAATAGCCGACCTTTATTATGGTGAATAGATGTGTTTTGTATGGCTGTAGTGCGACAGCAAATGCAGAGAATGGCGTATCGACTCATGCGTTTCCAAGAAACCCAGCCATTCGTCGTCAGTGGGTGAAATTTGTTCAGAAATGTTCACTATAGGTAATACTATAAGACTGTAAGACGGCAATACTTTATACCGAGTATATTGCCATAAATATGATGATTGATTATCAGTAAACAATTCTACGTGACACAACGACATTGGATTAACCTTGAGATGCGTTTTTATTCCGTTGAACACAACTTTTGATCACAAATCAAAAAAGGTAAGACGTAATTATTGTAATATCTTTGGAACCGGATGTTGTTTACTTTCTCTTTTCTGGCTGATAGCTCCAGGAATTCGAGGTCTTACAGTGATGACATTACATGTGTGGAATCTGTGGAGTCTCAGCTTTAAATCGTATATCTTGTTTGTGCAGTTAAGATAGTAATAAGGGCATTTCTACCGTGTGTTGTGTGTAAAAAAGCGTTAGCATTAGTTAGCATTGTTTCGCTCAATGCTAATTCAAAGGCTTGGTATTACTCTTGTGTTTTTTCTAGCTAACAATTGTTCTTATTGTCAGTTAGCGGAGTTTCTTACCTTTAAAAGGGTATGAAACATTAATAGTTTCATAAATGTTAAGAAGCCCTGAGACATGTGAGAGAAAAAAACTGTGGGAGGGGTCCACTGGGGGGACCTTCGGCCTTAACTGGTTAACAATGATTCATATTGGTAAAGGCTACAGGTGATCTTAAGATGCGTGAGCTATGCTTAGGGACCTACCAGTTAAGATTATTTGTGCGTAGGGGTGCATCATCTGGCGCCGGCTCCTGGTCATCCTCGCCATTGCCCATGCCGTGAACCATCACCTCGGGCTCGAACAAATAAGGACGTAATGGTCCATCTTCTGGCTCAATATTCTCACCATCGTCGCTTCCGGTTTGGCTGAGTCGAACATTTCGTTTCTAAAAAACTTCGGGGAAACTGCAATAAAGTGCTTCTAACATGCGTAAGGCAATTATTATATTTTTGTAATCAGGTGTGATTGTTTTGGTACGTAATTATGCTTGTATATAAGTTAAAACGAAACTATTTGAGGTTCCATTTCCACTATCCCTTTAATTGTCTACATGTATGTAGAGGTTTCACAACATGCCTTCCTTGTGTCGACTGTTTTAAAGAAAAGGAGGTGCAATGTGCTCAACAAGGAAACAAAACAAAATTAAATAAGGAAGAATTTAAAATGATACTACAGGTGTTCAGTCAGGAGAGACGGTTTTGATGTAATAATACATATTTATTGCCAGGAATACACAAATGAATGTAATGGAGTTTTGGCGATTAGGCCCCGTTGTGCAGGAGTATCATTCGGGAGGGGAGAACCGATCCGATGAAACCCCCCGGGGTCTAGACCCTGGTGGTGGTGAATGGATAGTTGGGTTCGGTCTGAAGGGGAGTGGCTTAGCTTGACCCTGGTGGTGGTGAATGGATAGTTGGAGTCGGTCTGAAGGGGAGGGGCTTAGCTTGACCCTGGTGGTGGTGAATGGATAGTTGGGTTCGGTCTGAAGGGGAGGGGCTTAGCTTGACCGTGGTGGTGGTGAATGGATAGTTGGGTTCGGTCTGAAGGGGAGGGGCTTAGCTTGACCCTGGTGGTGGTGAATGGATAGTTGGGTTCGGTCTGAAGGGGAGGGGCTTAGCTTGACCGTGGTGGTGAAGGGATAGTTGGGGTTCAGACCCTGGATTCAGAGGGACAGGAAGTGAAAAGGGGTGGAGGAGGGTTGCGTCGAGTCACCTGAAATGACAGCTGTCAAAAGGGTGAGTAGATTGAAAAGGGTTAGCGGAGCGCTATGATAGGCTTGTGGGAATAGAGCGAAGTGATTGGTTAAGCTGGGGAGTGACCGCCCCCGATCACTTATTGAGAGGAGAGAAGAGTAGTGACAGACATAGTAAAATGAATGAGAAAAGACGGTCTTCCTGGTTGAACTTGCGCTGAGCTTCATTAGTCAGGAATATTCCTGTTTTTCTTTATTGAATTCCAGCCATGTATGATGTCTTGTACATCTGCAACATCATGCATGTGACAATATAAGAAGTAAGGTGTTTAACTAAGATGGGTGAAAGTAAAATGAAAAGGAAGTCTTTTATTTTGCTCAGACTAGTGCAAGTACAGTAGGCTTTTAGCTAGATATTCACAACATTGTCTTTAAAGTGTTTTTGTTCTACTTCCTGTTTGTCACTGACTGCATTTGTTTCCTTGTATGATAGTGTTTATTTATTAAAAAAAATGTACGATCACTCGAACGGTCATGTTTTCATTTGTTTGTATCAGTCATGACAGAAATACTCAGGACTGGTCATCAGTACACTGACAGGTGGGAGGAAATGCACCTGTTTGAGGCTTGTTTGCAATGTGTGGTATACATGTAACAAAATATAAAATACAAAGCTGTGTTGAAGAAGGGGAAGTTCCTCAATAGTTTAAATTAAATAAATCCAAGACATTTTTCTGGAAATGATATAAATATGAGTTGCGTTTAATTAACTGCTCCACAAAACCTCATTAATCTTTTGTTTATTAATAACCCTCTGCATGATAAACCTATCTACAGGGTTAAATAGCATTTAATAGGAATTCAAGAAAAAGTGACCATATCCATTTGCTCCAAAATAACTACCAAATAAGAAAATGTTGGTACTAATTTGACATAATTGTACACTACTCATTTCCCTTTTTACGCAACTCCACTACATTTCAGACGCAAATTTACTTATTAATCCATTTAATGTAATTTTAAACACTTGTTTTTAGGTTTTAACCCTTGTGTTGTGTTCGGGTCTCCCGTGACCCGTTTCAAGTTAAAATGATGTAATAACTACGCTCTAGTTTTTTGTATCGGAACGAGGCTTCATGATATCCTCCACAGCAGCTATATAAACACTACAAAACTGATATTGACAATTTTGTCAATTTCTGCTTTTAAACCCATCGTAGTACCAGGAGTCTAGTACTAGGAGCAGTGGGCAGCTATTGCACAGCGCCCGGGAGCAATGGAGTGAGGGGGGGAAGGGGGGGTGTCCGGTGCCTTGCTCAAGGGCACCACAGCAGGGCAGGAGGTGAACTGGGACCTCTCCACGTAGAAGTCCACACACCATATTTAGGTCTGGTCGGGGACTTGAACCGGCGACCCTACGGCTCAGAGTGCAAGCCCCTACTTACTGAGCCACTGCCGGACTGTGGGTGACTCGGGGTCAAATTTGGCCCAATCAAGATTCATCTTTGACTTTCGACGCCCCTCCCCCTTCATCCACTGTAACAATAATTTTTCGCAACATGCACCTGGTCTCCAATCCCTCTGCCCCCCTCCCCCCACGGGAACTCGACCTTTCTCAAAGAATATGTACACTAACACTTGAACCTGAAGTCCTGAACTCACACATGCACGTGTTCAATATGTGGTGTAATGTGTTTTGGGCCATAACATTAAATTACAACAGGATTGTACGGTTATGAATGCATAATAAGTTAGTTATGATAACAATATTGGATGATAGTCATTATTTTTGAGTGTTTTGGACTGAGATCAATCATGGGTCAAAATTGACCCGCGAACACCATGAACGGAAACAGCTTTCAAACACAACACAAGGTTTAAAATAAAAACACATGACATGTTTATACAATACGCCGCTGTACTGTACTACTATTTTACCCAGTATTTCACAAGTATCTAAAGTTTGTGAGGAATAAAATATTATTGGATGATAATCCAATTTATTATTACTGAGTACTTTTACTTTAGATACTTTAAAGTGCATTTACCTAATACTCAAGTACTTCTACTTAAAGGGGACCTATCAAAAAGCAAAATGCACTTTCTGATGTCTTTTATACATAAACATGTGTCCCCGGTGTGTCGGGGAACTCACGCAGCGTCAGGAAATAAAACCCTCTCTCTTTTCCTCCGTACCCAAATCTCTAAAAACGGGGGAACAACGGAGCTGATCCAGATTTGCGTCCGATATGACGTAACATCTGAAATGTGGGACCCACGGCCCAATCAGAAAATGTTTGCTATCAGAAACAATGCTCGACTGTTTTGGACGTAATATGGTCGGTGTTTACATTAGTCATCGCTAACACTCAGAGCTAACCTGTACTGGAGAGCATGTGTGTGAAGAAAGCAGGAAGTAAAAGGAACTCACCTTGTGGGTAGAGACCGGCAAGAGAGAAAGCCTTTGAGCTCCATACTGTTTCAGATCCTTGATAATCCATGATATGGCGTTTTCATCACGAGCAGCATTTAGTTTAGACAGTAGCTGCCGGGTCCCACATGAGCTCGACCCCTCTTTTTTTATTTTCTAACCTTAATACCTAATACCCCGATCACACTTTAGAAACAGGAAGTGAAACAGAGGGATATGAGGCATGGCTAGAACGGGTGATCTGTTTGGTATTTTGAGCAAAACACTGTCATAGACATGTTTTTATAATCTGAGACCTATGCTATTGCCTACAAACAGCATGATAGCTGATCTTTAAAAACTGAATATTAATTAGATTTTCTTTGGGAAAGTGGTTTGTTTACTCTCTGCAGAACAGTATCACACCATAAAGCTATAGGTAGGGGGATTCATTTGAGAAACATTTATTATTTGTCTAAATCCTGATCAATCAAATTCACTAGGATGGACTTTTTTCGCTAACTACTTACATCGTAAAAAATGTCTTTAAATTACATGAATTTAGGACTTAGTATTTAAGAGCTGGTGTATTTCTAACTTTACTTAAGTAAAGTTATTGAAGACTTCCTC